CAGCTGGCTGCTGGCAATTATCCTTGTTCATCCTGCTGCCGGCAACACCGTGTCCAGTGTCAGCCAAGGGTTAACAAATTGTGTTGGAAGGAAACAATGGATTTCTTAAAAAAAAAAAAAATCTTTGAGCTGTCTGTGAATAATAAAGGAGTCAACAACCCCTACTTTCCCAAAGCGCTTTGAGATCTGTAAATGAAGGTTTACATAAGAGCGTAAATATTATTATTTATTTAAGAGCTCTCACATTTCCCTTCACGTCTTCTTTTCTTCCTCTTCCCCGTTACTTGTTTGTTGGGAAGATGCTATTTGCATTCATGAATATGTGTCCAAAGTGGGAGGCAACGCGAGAATGTGGATTATAAGGTTGGTTGAGAGGAGCAGGGAGGAGAGGGGGTGTGGGGTGGGGGCGAGGTGAGGGGAGAGGCTCTAAAAAGAGCAAGGACAGGTTAGCAAGAGGGGAATAATATTGGGTTTCTTTTGTGATTAAAAATTTCTTACCCTAAAACATGAGCAGGTCTCTGTTTGTTGGTTGGTTTATGTCAATGAACATTTCTTAAACCTTCTAGTTAAACATTCAAGGCAAAGTTTAGAGCAGCTATGATAAGAAAAGTTTTAAAAATTTATCTGGGCTTTAGCTGTCAAAGCATGTGATATGATTCATATTTTTAGCATTCTGGCTGGAATCAAACTCAGGCTAGTGCTGGTGCTATTTATTATTTTCTTTTCACATGTGCCATGTTTTAGTCTGTGCCTTTTTGCCTGTGGCGATGCCCCCCTGGGCGAGGGTGGGGAGCACTCCCCGTCCCGCTGCGGGGCCCGGCAGAGCTCCCACAGCTCCCGACCCACCGTCCCCTCTGCCTGTACTGCAGCCTCTGGCTGAGCAGCCCCTCATGGTTTGGTAAACGTTGAGACTGGGTACTGGTATGTGTTAGTGGCAAAACATCAACTGAATAGGAATTTAAAATACGATACTCCAGGAAGAATAAAAACAATTGTAATATGTGACTTTAAAGGAAAACATAGCTATCACGGGGGATGTGAACACAATAACCCCACTAACTTGTAACCCAAGGATGCATTTGTACTGACAAAAACATTTGAGGCATGGTTGTAATGAGAATGAACTGGTTCTATAGTGAAGGGGCTGCTCAACTATTGTAAGACCAAAACAGAGTCGCTTTTTCCTTTCAAACACATCTATCTGTCTAAAATTGTTGGCCACATTATTCCTTCATAAAAACTGTCTTTCCTGTATTGAAATATTTGTTTTCCTTTTCACGTCTGAAAGCCCTTCCCGTAGTTTTTCTCTTTGTGACTCCTTCACTTCACATTTCGTTTCCTGCTCCTGTTCTGGTCATTGGCTCTGTTGAATGCTGCCTCTTTATGACATTATTCGTTACTCAGCTCTGGAAGTATGTTAACTACTGTAACTCCATTAATTTTTTTGCATACCATTTAAGTGAGATGAAATGCTCAGTGTTGTAGTACAGAACCTTGTGAAAAGATTCCAGTTCTTTATATATTAAATTAGGTGTTTTCTTCTTGCTGTCAAAGTAGCCTTAGGAGTTCTTCTTTACTGTTCCCAACTATAGCAGAAATATCGGACAAAAAATTGTTCTGAGGAGGCATTGCAGCCATACCCATCTCAAGCAGAAGAGTACAGGGTAGCTAAAAGCAGACAATTTCCTGGTAGGCATTGAAGCTTCAAAGACAAATTTACACTTCTTAATGGAAAAGAAATTAATTAGTCAACAACAAAGTTGTAGCATTTACATTCTGTTCCAAAATCAAAGCCTCCTACGTAATGCCAAGGTCAGAGTCTTCTACAAATATTGATCCCTAGTAAGTACCCAGTTGTATATCAATATGGAATTTATTATTCACAAAACATGTCTGACTGGGCGTTTTAATTAATAAACTTCGTTGCTAAAATGTTTACATGCAGAATACTTTTCAGATACTAGAGAAAGCCAGGGCTTAAATTCTTCCAGGTAATTGTGCGAAGAAGGAAGGTGTTCTTCAGCTGAGTAAGGGTAAGTCCTTAACCAAATAACTGTTCTGGCTGTAACTCCTACTGCAATCAGCACCGGTCTCTCTCTTTAATGATCAAGGCTTTGTGTTTTACGTGTGTGGAAGAGGGGAGGCTACTTTACACTAATGCAGTTCCCAAATGCAGACAACTAGATTTGTTCAAGGTTTCTGAACAAGTTAAAGTAGGCAATGTTGTTTCCAAATGATAGAAACAATACCAGTTCTTTTCAGCAAAGAGCCGTGTAGCTGTTTTCTAGAGCCTCGACGGCTTGAATGCATGGTAAATGTTTAGCTGTGCATTCTTTGGATTTGAGGAACATTGAAAACTAAATTAAACTGTAAGAGAGACAGTTTCTTTCCTGAGGTTAGCTGGGAGTCTTGCTCATGCATGCTGTCTTTTGAAGCTGTGTCTACTAAAAAAGCAAACCTCATAATGTGTATATTTTTGTTAGTGAATATATACCTTGGGTTGCTCTGATACCTTTGCAGGATGGATGACCATTTTCTTTCCTTCCTTTTATTTTATTTTATTGTATTTTATTTTATTTTATTTTAATGCACTTGGTTTACTGTACTAGGGCCTGGGTCTTAAAGATGAACAGTGTTGGCACTTGCCCAGCAAGTATCCCTTTTGAGTGGGAGATCTGTAAGGGAGCTTGTAGCACAGATCTCTGGTATGTAGACATGTTTCTTGCCTGTGTTATAACTTCTTGCAACATATGACAGTGACCGGACAGAGTTCACCTCTCACAGAATTTGCACAGGCCAGGAATTTTTTCTCATTCTGTGTTTGAGACATTTTCTGTGGTTGCAGCTCCTGCCAAATGCTGGACTATCACAGGTACTATGCCAACCAGCTGCAGAGTAATCCAGCACCTTTGTGACAGGAAATCAGGGCTCTTGAAATTTGCTTTGTTTTATTAAATGCTCCCTATCCAGGAATATGTTTTGAATTCAGGTCGGTTGCTTCAAAGTAAACTCTAAAGGGGGAAGAAGGAGCATTGGGGCATTCTTCCTTAGCAGCATCATCTTTCGAATCTGTGCCGGATGCATGAAAATCACTCTGGACAATTGCTCTGGCTGCCCTGGTGTCCTGGGAAGAATTTCAGCCTCTTCTCCCATCCTGAGTAAGGGAAAGGCTTCTGGGATGAATAATACCCACCTTTACCCCTTGTGGCTAGCTCCTTCTGGAGACTCTTCCAGGCTGACTCTGCAAAAGGTCCACCCTGGACTTCCAAAGACAGACTTTAGATCACCTGCCTTTGTGTGAGCTATTGGTTTTTCTTTCCTAAAGGTTTTTTTGGGGGCAATACGATGGGTCTGATCTGGGACTGTTCAGTTCCTAAAACATTAACGTGGTCAGTGCATAGGATTGTGCTTAGCAAATGGAATGAGCAGCGTTGGGATAAAAATGCAGTGGAAGATGTCACCATGGTCTGGCAGAGCCATAACTGCGTACCTGGAAACGTGCACATCTCGTACCTGCTCACTGTCAGAGCTGGGTTTCACAGTGACTCAGAAGAGAACAAAGCAGAGCTCAGAGAAACACAAGGGTTCCCAGTTAAAAGCTTCCTGTGATTTCCTACATGTAGGGCCCCAATGAAAACCTACTGTTTTTAGACACAATGTTAAAGCACGCTTCTGTTAAGAGCACTGAGCCCGTGAACCATCAAGGTGGACCTTGGGTCCATTTTCCATCACTTCTTTCCTCTTTGGACTGTTCTCTGCTTTGCATGGAGGAAAAAATTGGTTTTCTTTCCATAGCCATCTCTGTGCAAACTGCAGCTGGGAAGGGCGAGGCAGGGCTGGTGCGTCCATCCCGGGGCTCCAACATCACCCGTGCCGAGGGTAAGGGTGGCTTACCCTGGTGGGGGCTACACCAGCAGAGCCACTGCGGCCAGGGGAGGTGCTCGGTGGTTCCACTGCCGTGATGTGATGCTGTGTATGGGGCTGCGGAGGCTTTTATGATCACCACCTATTAAACATTTCTGATGGCAGCACAGGAGAAGAGCAAGTTCTGACTCACAGCTCCAAAGGCTGGGCGTCTCTGCGGGACTGGAAGGTGCAAAAAGCAAGAGTTTTATTTTTCTAAGTTACTAAGTCACTAAGCTGCTGGGAGATATGGCCAGGTTCACGCAGACAAAGCAGATCTGCTGATTAGGCTGCTGGTTTACAGCTTATTTTCTCAGTATATGTTGCCTGTTGAAACAGAAAAAAATTCAAAGATAATAAAGCTACAGTGCCTAATGCAGCCCCCCCCCCCGCCCCAATTCCCCATTAAACTCATCGGTAGAACAGACAGCAGTACTGGTCACTGCTTTGTCTGATCCGCAATACCATACTGTATTTATTGGATAACATATCTATTTATCATATAGTCGTCTTCCTCGCTAGCGTTCTGAATGCAATTATCAAAGGTGTTCTTACATCTTTAAATTTCATTTAGAAGGAGAGCGACGGCCAAAATGCTAATGAGCTTGCCTTAATTGTAAACATTGAGCACCGATAAGAATGAAACTCCATCCTCTGTTCTCAAAGAAGTTCTTACGTGTTTCCTATTTACACCGCGTTTTATCTGATTCTCCTTCACTTCTGTTCTTAGGCGGATTAATAGGCACCTGACCAGACAAATAACAGTACTACATCTTCTTCACACCCTTTTGACAGACTTTTGAGGTTGCAAAATATTTTTGGAAAATTATTATTGGAAAAAAGATTACTGAATGATCAGGCGGATGGCAATTTTTCAGGCTGGAACAAACCGTTCCCCCGCATTCACATGAACACGTTAGTAACTCGTACTTAAATGCTGATGGGACATTTTTTAGAATGTGATAAGTGTGAAATAGCCCGTAGTTTTATCAGTCTTGGTCGCTGCCCACTCCTGCTAAAAAAAGGTTGATTGTGATCATTAAGCTGCAGGTAGGCAGTGCCTCTGGACTGTAAAATAGGAATGTTAGTGCGCAGTGATGAAAGCAAACTTTGCTCAACACCTGTCTATATATATTGCAGGTTGCAGTGGCTGCCCAGTTGATCCGTTTGCTCTGTTGTCTGGGAATAAAGAAGTGGTAAGTAAAACCAATTAAGACCAAGTTTTCTTTTCTTCTTTTTTTTTTTTTTTTTTGAACTTGCTTAGATTGTAAATGCAAAGCTCTGCTTCTGCAGCTGAAGGGATAGCAGCAGAGAGCTAACGTGGGGAACTGGAGCGGCATGTGAAATGTCATCCACTTGTTAGCATTTTCACCTTGGCTTCTTTCAACTGCATTTCTATTTTAAGGAATTGGTCAAAAATCATGGTTTTAAAACCAAACTGGGCTACATTTTGCCTGCAAATAACTTGATTTATTTTTATGGAATATGATAAAGCAAAAAAGCATTGTATTAGTAGCTGTAAGGAAAAAAACCCAGAAATAAATGCCTGTAGCATAAGAAAGTATTGTTTTAACTACTATTTGGATTGAAAAGAAGGGAGATTTTAAGTCATAGTAGTCAGTGGTATTGGATACTGGAAAATGTCTAGGATATGATTAATGAAACATTGGAAGGAAATACTGTCAGTTCGTGTGTTAGCATAGATCGTGTGTAAAGTGTGTGTGCTGCGCTATGGCAGTGTCAGGCTATGCTCGATGGAAACATTTTCTTATGCTAATTCGGTTTGATACACGGAGGTAAGAGGAATACATTAGTCTAATGTGGTTAGCTCAACTAATGTGGCAGTAGGCAGAAATCAACCGGTTTCTCAGTAACTTTTATTAGCAGCTCTTCCATTTGATCAGTAAGTCTTTTTATTGTCATTACTTTTTCCTCTCTCAATTCTTTACTATGTGTTTTGTATTCGGGATGGGGTAGATCTGTTGTATTTCCTTGTTGGTGGGATTTTTTTTTTTGTTGTTATTTTATTCTAAAAAAGTAGTGATTTTCTTTAAACACCTAGCAGGCATTTCAAGTAGTTCACTGATGTTTTCTGACTCTGGCTCTGTCTGGTGCTCTGCTCTCTGGTGCCTTGCTTGGTTGACTCTCACTTGTCTGGTGCTTTGCTTGGTTGTGAATGCAAAAATTAGTGTTTGGGATTCATTTTCTCTCCGCACTTGCTTAGAAATTAGTTCTTTTTACCAGTTTGTTTTAAATGTGGGGTTTTTTTCTTGTTAGTTTTTCTATGTGTTAGATTCAAGCTTGTGAGCAAGAAGCCTCAGGGATCCGTAGGTATAAACAGCGAGCACAATGCTCTTTGCTCTTTTTTTCCCTTTTTTATCTTTCACATATCTATTTTTTTCCTTTACTGCTACACTAGTCTGAAAGTTTCCACCCTGACTAAGCCTGTTAACTTATTTGGAGAAAAAGCTCCAAAGCTCCAAGGAAGCGGCTGGTGCCAGAGCAAAGGCACGACTTGCTCCTAGCAAAGCTGAATCACCGCTGGTGTTTATTTATCGTTGCCTGGGCTGTTGCACTCGGGGCTTTGTGGCTGCCATGGAAGAGGTTCTGGGGCAAAATTATCGGCTGATGTAAAGCTATCGAATGCATTTGTGCTGGCTGAGGATCTTTCCTTTCCTGTCGCTACATAATATGCTTCTATGTCAGAGATGATAGATTTTGAAGGGGGGAAAAATCCAATAATTCTTCAAACAGTGTATAAGAAGGACTGCTATGTAGCTTGACGTTTACTCCTATGAAGTATGTGTGGTAAATATTCATATTTACTAAGTCATACAGTTGGATATCAGATTAGCTGATAGATCTCTTTTTAACATAAAAACCATAGCACAGTGGCGAATGACAAGAAAGTGAAGAGAGAGAAGGAGAGCAAGCGAGGGAGGAGAAAGCCTGGCTAAACCCAAAACTTGAATTTGAGCCACTTAAGCAACCTGTAGGCACATGTATGGTCACGTTGGCGGTTGTTGCAGTTATTACTATCTGGTTTTGAAAATACTGGTATTTTCTCCAGTACTTTTATTTCACCTTGGTTTGACTGGGTCTGTTCCCCTGGAGGAGAGATTTCTTTAAGGCTTACTGCTTTGTAGTTCTTATTTCAGGCACAATGTGGCCTTCCAGTGAGCTGTCACGGGTGGAGAGGTACAAACAATGCAATCCAGGCATGGGCAAGCAGTAGTTCATATTCTCTGTGTCAAGTCCAGCAAAATAAAAAGATTTACAACTGTTTCTGATTTAAAACTGAAAAGCACCCAGAGTCTAGCCCTGCAATCGGGGTGATGCTGATACAGTCCAATGAGTCACTGAGGAATGCAATACAGCGCAATTGCATGACACCTAGTGTTGCTCAAATAATTCCACAGAGACTTTAACTCTTTGAAAAGCAGCAGTGAGAGAGTGAATATGGCTATAAAAACCCCGGGAGCCCACTTTGGCTTCAACTTGCTCTCTCTGACCTTTTATTTCAGAATTTGAATGCCATCATTTCTGTCTATCTTCCCCTTAGGAGCGGGAGGTTTCAGTTTCTATTGGAGTTAGAAAGGATGTCACACGTAGTTAGCATTTTCCGAAGGTGAGGAAAGACTATACTTACACTGAAAGGAGCACACAGGCTGGTGTGAGAGGATTTGCCGCGAGGCTCACCGAAACGGACTGGATTACAGTTTGCGCAGGCATTAGTTTTCAGACCTTTGCAATATGCATAGTGTATTTTGACCTGCCACTTTCAGGAGGAAATGAGCTCCCATTTCAGCACAGCTCGAACCAGGTGGATATCCAAAGCGACAATGCTCATCCGGACGCCAGGTCCATGCTGACGCCCCGGGTGCAGGCATCCTGGCCAACATCCTACCAGCCAAGGCGGGAACCGGATGCGTGGTGCTGAGACACACGGGCTGGCACGGGGATGGGCAGAGCTCATCACTCCGGGCATCTCATCCAGCAATTGTGGCTATCCTGCCTTTGGACCTAGACCGGTGGGTCCAGCTGAACGTAGCTCCTTGTTGCTGTGTGCGTCGTCACCAGCCCATCCTCTGCCCGTTCTCTAACATGTTCCTTCACAGTGTAGTTATGTCATCGGTGTTCAAAAGTAAACCACTATTAGGGTTGTCATTGTCATTTATATCTTGCGTCAAATGATGTTGGTCTTTTATACCGCGCCTGACGTCAGCCTTCCCAAAGGCGCATATGAGCTGCCTGGGAGCGGTGCAGTTAGCTTTGTCACCCCACTGCGCTGCTCCCCCGCAGCACCCAGATTTTCCTCTGGGTATTTTCTCAAGATGTTAATGTCTGTATTTGGGCCAAGGAAGAATTCTTTGAAGGGAAAACTGTAGAATGTAGATTATCCTTGTAGCACAGTGATTAATTAACAGTAAGTAGCTGTGGCCAGGACTCTAGCGAGCAGAGTATCAGGTAGCTGTAAACTATCTTCTCAGCTCTTCCTCTTAACAAGAGTCAGGATCTGGAGAAAGCTGGCAGCTTTGGTAGCGCTTCAAGGATCTAGATGGTTCTGCTTTCATCAGTCCTTGATACCAATCACACAGAGTGGGCTGTTCTAGTAATACCTCTGCAAACCCAAATGCACAAGGCAAATACTGTAAAGACCTTCAGCATTCAAGCCTGCCTTCCCAAATCAGAGGTTGACTAGGGCTCATATGAATCATTTTATATACATACCTATAAAAAAACCTTCCTCCACAGAGGTGGTCAACTCTCATTCTATGGTATTTAATCCCATAAAGCAAACCCAATAATAATACATGACGTACCTGTGGGATCCTGAGCACCTCAGGAACATGGGAGATGCTTACAATGAAAAAATGCCCTGATGAATTCTTGAATGGGAAGAGTTTATTTAGGAGAGATAGAGGCTCTTCATCTGCTGAAGTTTTCAAGCTCCAGTTTCTCCGGTGCGTGCATCAGCTTGGTTTTCATACAGTAATCTTGCAGGCTGAATCCTTCATTTCCATACTGAATGTAACAGAAGAGCTGTAGAAGTACTGATGGCATCTTGGGCTGGTGGTGTCCAGCATATTCTGTGTCTCTCCATGGTGGGAATACGTTTTCAATGCAACTTCACATCTGAATTTCCAACGCATTTTCACGATTGCATTTCACTTAAGAAGCACTTGTGCTGAGCTGTTATTTTTTTTAGAGCTCTCTAAATGCTGAACATGTGTAAATGAAACTCGTTTAACAAGACGGAGGTGTTCTGGCCTGGGTGGGGCTCGGAGGTTGCTCTGGCATGGGTGAAAATATGAGAATTTGCTCCAAGCAAATGGAAACCCTTGTTGAAACAAGCAAGAGTGATTTTCTTCTGTCTGTTCTGAGATCTTTCTTTGTGTATCTTGGGAGCTGCTCTGGATCTTATGCCGCAGATAAAGAATGTGTAAAAGCATATTTTTTGCTAGTGGGGTTGTAGAACAATTTTTCCTGCTAATGTGGAAGGGAAGACACTCATTTCTTTGCGGAGTGCCAGAAAACAATACTCTCCTCTGTACAGTAAGACATGAGTGACTTTGTCTGTGACATTTCCTTCCCAGCTAAAGGAGGAGGATGTTTGGCTTATTGGCATGGGCAGGGACAAAACGTTTTCACCATCAGCTGCATAAAGGATTATGATAAAATGAATGGTTAATTATACTCCCTCAGAGTGGCTGCTAAAGGCGTGTGGACCTTGTTTATGGGAGCATGATACCAACTCTGACACTGACTTTTAGAGGCCGGGCGCAGGTGCCCTGGTTATGAGGGGCATTGCAGGCAAATTCTCTCACCGATATTCCAGCCCCGTGAGTGCTAGACATGGTGGCTGTGGGGCAGCTTTGTCCCCAGCACTGAATGACTCATGTAGCAGAGAGGGTGGAAGAGACAGACCCGAAGGTGAGGCTTTTCTGGGTAGGGTTCACTTCTCCCATCCTTTCCACTGAGTTTTCAGTCATGCTGGCTGAGCTAACCAACAGCCTTACAAGCCTGGAAAGGTAGAAGGTATTATCTATCATATATTGCCTCAGCTCTCCATGGTCACCTTCCCCCTCTTTCCTGTCCCTCCCTCTGCCTTCTGATATTGGTGAAGTAAATAAGTAGGACTCTTCTAGGTTTTGGTTCAAGGAAGAGCTGCCTCCTCCTCTTGTGCCTGGTCTAGGTCTGTCACGTGTGCTTGTACCTGTGCCAGCAGGATTTGGCCATGTGATGTCTTATTTTTTCAAGTTATTATTTGTTAATATTACAATGCATGTCAAATGTGCTCAAACGGCATCAGAAAGGAAGAGGTTCAGAGGGAGACCCTGCATGAGATGGGTGAGCCTGACCTTGCTGCCTCTCACTCAGCTCCACTTGCAGCATCAGCTGTGATTTACAGGCAAATATAGACCCGCAAATGGCCACTGCTGTCTAATTACACTCTTGTCCAGTCATTCAGCAAGCATCGATCGGGAGCTTGAAACTCTGGGGTCTTCCTCCAGGGTCACGTTCCCCTCCATGCTTCCACGGGAATAAACCAGTAAAGGCAACGTGTGTTTAGCATACGTGACCCAAACTAAGCAATGCTTTAGGGAAGAACTTTCTTTGCTAAGGTCTGTCCATTGAATTACCAGTTTAGTAAAGGCAGTCAGTTAAATCTAGGAGGTGGAAGAAAGTAAAACAGTCCTCTGACTTTTTGCTGAAAGGAGAAAAAATGAATTGGAGAAAAGAAATGCCTAAGGTTTGGAAAGCGGAGGAATCTTTGCTTTCACGACAGCTAAAAGTGAACAAAAATACAGGCATGAGATGGAAATATTTTTTTTAATTGTGTAAATTGCATGAATAAATCAACTGTGTGATTTAAAAAATAATTGAGAAATCAATTTCCAATTAAAGGAATAATTCATAAAGATTAGTAAAAAACTGTGTTCAAGGACAAATTGCTCCCATTCTCTTTCCACCTCCTTTGCTCTTAAACTTAATCATATTTCTCACATACCCTGTTGTAGTTGAATATTTTGACTGCACGTGTATTTTAATCCAAACTACTTTGTTATTCACAGATCATGGCTCCCTGGCCTGAGGTAGAAAAGCCTGAAACCAATAACTATATTGGGGACTCTTCCAAACAAAACCAGAACATGGCTGGGAAAGAAGGAGAAAATCATAAAGGTAATGTGTGCTCACCTGTGAGTTACAGACATATATAAGTTTTGGGGCTCCTTGGAGAAGGTGGAATATAATTAAACCTTTTTTTTTTTAATGTTCTGTTTCATCAGGCAATGTGGCTTCACTTGGAAATAAAGGGGAAATTCAGCCTGCGTTTTCCACAATAGCCTTGATAGATGAGACAAGGCCAGAAGAAGAGGACCCATGGGCTCTGCCGGAACTGCAGGACACTGGGCTCAAGTGGTCAGGTAGCCATTTCTCAGTAAATTAGTTACCTGCATTTAATTTTTCCATCATCTCTACTTTCTTTGTCTCAGTTATTTTTGCTGCAGAGTTGAATTTAAGATTTGAGGAGTTTTCAGATGTAGGATTTATGCTCTGTTTCACCTTCCCTGACAGTGAATGGGGTAATTATATTTAGTCAGTTAAGAAGAATCTGGCAATCATGCTGCTTACCCTCCTTAAAACACAAGGAGATACATGGAAAACAATCCAAAACTAATATGGTTTTATATCCAGGCTCCTATTGGTCTTTCTTTACTCAGTAGTACGACTGTAAAACCGAGGGTCAATCTCAGTCTTCATAAGGCTTTTGTCATATACATTTTACATGGTAAAACTAGGCAAAGAAAATACCTGCTTCTGCAGTTAAAATTTGATTAAGAAGAATATTCTCTCGGGTTTAATCACACACTGGGGTCACAACGCTGTCTTTGACTCCGCAGCCTCTTGTAGCTTGTGCACTAGAATGTTCCAGAGAGAACACCAGATACATCAAGCAAGTCTTTTACGCGTAATGTATTTGTTTTGCAGAACTGGATAGAAAAGGAAAAATCATTCGTGTACTCTACGGGATAGGGAAGTTTATTATGCTACTTGGATTGCTCTACTTGTTCGTGTGTTCTCTGGATGTGCTGAGCTCTGCTTTTCAACTGGTAGGAGGTATGAAAATGTCTAAAATACCAAGAATAAACTATGAATGAGGCAGTAAATTTAATCTGAGTGACTAAATTACAAGCATCACTCTTCACGAACATTCTCCATAGATTTATGTGTTGAGATATAGATTCAGAAGGAAGTAGTTCTGATTGAAGACTGACCTTCATTTGTTTGAAAGGGCCTTTGTTTCTCAAATTGCAAAGAGCTGTTGATGTAGGGATTATTGGCCCTGATTTCTTAGTAGGTTCCTGTTACTTTAGTGACAGTTTATACAAATACATCTGTTCATAAATCTGTCCTATGTGAAAGACATTTCAACAAGGGGAAATATGAAAATTGCGTTCTTGATCAAAGCATCCAGCACTGAAATGTCCCCCAAATCTTTCAGAGATTAAAATTATTGAAATGTATTTTTTACATTTACCTGTCTCCAAGGGTTGAATTCTGCTGATGGATTCAGAAGCGGTTATGAGAGAAATATGTGAACTTCTGTGGAAGTATTCTGGGTTTTTGGCAACACAGAAAGCTACAGGAACAGAATCACTCAGGATTATTAAATTAGTTTTCCTTGATGCAGTAACCAAAAATATCAGAGCAGTAATAGCATTTAAGTCTATAAGTATGTGGGGGTTTTTTGTCCTACAGTCTTTCCTCTGATGGCTGTTGTTTTATATGGTTCTCTGCAGGTTCAGTAGAGCTTGTTCAGTCACTGAAATGAGAGAATATAAAGTATTTTCTGATAACTGGGAAGCTGAGAGTTCAGGACCTGAATTTGGATCCCTGGACTACATCATTTTGTACATTTTTTGGCTGGCAAGCATGGCTATATATGTATCAATTAAATGGTTGAATGATCTTTAATTAAATGCTCTGATAATTCCTATGGACTTTACCTTGCACTTCCCTCACTCTGAGAATATGGTTTTTGTAGGTAAAGCAGCAGGGGACATTTTTCAAGATGATTCAGTGCTGTCTAATCCTGTTGCGGGATTGGTGATTGGAGTTCTGGTGACCGTTATGGTCCAGAGCTCCAGCACTTCTTCATCCATTGTGGTCAGCATGGTGTCCTCCACACGTAAGTCTGCCTACAGTATGTTCCTAGACATCACTCATAAATCTTGATCTGGGGTGCAAACATTCCCACCTGTGTTTAAGTTGTAGAAACTTTGAGTGTACAAGTACAGACTGCAGCAAAACGTTTTCACAGTTGTTGCCCTGAGACAAAAGAAAATTCTAAAAGTAATAATAATAATAATATTAGTAAGTCCATAACTGCAATGAAAATCATTGGAAGCCTTGGCATAGAATGCATTAAATTTGGAAGTATCTGCATACGTTTTTCATGTTAGCCAGCTACTGAACTTCTTTTGTTTCCGTGGCATCATTTCAAAATTCTGCAGTAAGTAGGAAAATGCCTGGGAAAGAAGAGACTTTATCTTACCCTGGCCCTCTAACATGTGGTGAAAAGGGATAACCATGGGCTGCAGTTTCAGCAGGGATCATGGCATTTTGGGATTACCGCGTTCCCAGGGGGCTTGATTAAAGCCAACATATCTGGATTGGAGCACCCAATCCCAGTGACACCAAGGGAAGTCAGGGTTCCAGTGACATTAATAATGTTCATTTTCATTGGAGCAAAGAGCTTGATGATGATCTGATTTTTTTCATTAAGTGCTTCCTTTTCTGCTTTCTAGTGCTGACTGTTCGATCAGCGATTCCTATCATAATGGGGGCAAACATTGGCACATCAGTTACAAACACGATTGTGGCACTCATGCAAGCTGGGGACAGGAATGAATTTAGAAGGTATAGTACTTAAATACTAGACCTGAAAAGTTGCTTTTCTTCCTTCTTCATAGGTTTTCTTCTATATTCCCTATCACTATTACAGCCATTCAACCTTTCTAGTGACCAAAATGTGAATGTCTAGTTACGGAAGTCACAGACATGGCCAAGGTATAATGCTGTCTAGATGCATGGCTTAATATATTTGAAGAAAAGCATATGAAGTCCCTTTAAAAGTTTTGTGTTTTTGTAAGAATCTGCCATTTTTAACTGGATCTTGCACGAGGATAAATTTTCAACTGCTCCCACTATACCGCCCACTTTTGAGTATCTCTTAATTATGGGAGGGCTGTACAAGATGTTAATATTACAGTATTTTGGTCTACTCTTCTTAAAAGAGACTTAGTTGTTGGAGGCTTTCTATATCTACAATAAGAAAGAACTGGTAATTGTAGAGAAGTGAAGTGTTCTGGCTGTCAAATATGTACAGTGACAACTTCTAGACTGCTGCTTGACATTATTGCTGAGAGAGCTCATGGGTTGCTGGACATGGGCAGTAAACTTGGGAGGGATGTGAGACTTTGATACCTTGTCATTTATGGCATACCAGATGTATGAAAAACACCTAGCCCAAGCGTATTTCTCCAAGATTTACTGCCCTGAATCTTTGGTTGTGCTATTCTCTGTCATGTAAGTTCCAACGCCAAAGTAGTCTGTTAGTATCTGGTCAGGAAAAGAATCTAAATAACAATGAAAAAGAAGTTGATTTTTAACATTCATTAATATTATTAACAATCACTTCAGTCTGTAAACTGAAGGTGGTAGCACTGTCACTTTTGTTGGCCTACTTTGACTGTTTCCACCAATTCTTTGTTGGTCTACTTTGAATGGTCCCTCAAGTAGTTTGTCTGTGGGAACATAAATTACAGGATTAGCATTTTGAGGAGTTTTTCCTCCACATTTTCTTCCTTCACAATGCTTAATTTAAGGAGCTTACATTTTAAAACAAGTACCGGCAGATTGCTGCGAATTAAGAAGACCACAAGCAGCTATTAGGAAGGTGCAAAAGAGTGTCTTTGAGGGAAGAGCTGTGGTTCCTCAGGCTGTGGAGGAGAAGCTGGAAGGGAGCTGTACACCAATGGTTTGCAAGAACATGTGAGAGGGCTGCAAAGAGCCACCTTCTCCCATGAGTCAGGGAGAACAGGTCCCAGAGGCAACACCTGCCTCAGGATTAAAAATGTACCAGAAATGGGTGAGAAGCGAAACAAATGTAGGCTGTACAGCCATTTCTTTCTTCAGACAGGTACTCTTGGCAGCCTCATGTTAAGGATCACTGTTGCCTTTTCTAGTTAGTCTTGTTTCACTCACTTGGCTGGCTCTTTTACTTGGTCAACGGTGTGGAGGCAACTTAGTGCTCCATAGCAAAGCAGACATCTCCTGTGACCCCAGAAATGAAATGATTCCTGTCTTGAAATGGGCTTCATCCCCACCTTTATGATTTCATATGATTTCATGTTGTGCACATGTTGTTTAATTAAAAGCAGCTCTGTTTTTAAATTTCTTCTTGCAGGGCCTTTGCTGGGGCAACAATCCATGATTTCTTTAACTGGCTCGCTGTGTTTGCACTGTTGCCCATTGAAGTTATTTCTGGCTATCTTTACCATCTCACCAACGTTATAGTTGAGTCCTTTCATCTTGAAAGCGGTGAGGATGCCCCTGAGCTACTAAAAGTTATCACAGACCCCTTTACAAAGCTCATCATTGAGGTAAGCTCTTTCTTTATTCAAGGAAGCTGCTTACTTGCTTCACTTACAGCTAATCAAAATGCTCTGAATATG